ACACACGCCCGCCTGCCGCCGGAGTTGAATTATGTTGAACTTTTTTCTAAGCGGAATGTCGCTCTCTGTCTGAAATGGCCTTTAGTCTTTCAGCTCATTGTTTTGGCTGGTTAACTTTACTGTTTTGGTTTACCCATCAGACTGGTTTCGAGCAGCTGCTTCTCTTATCGGCAAAAAAATAATCTGATAAACCTACTGTTCACAGCCCAGCATCAATCTGCAGATCAGACGAGTTAGAGACTAGCTGAAATCTCAGATAACTCTATACAAATGAAACCAAAACCATCTGCATGAGGGGAAACAATATACTGCAATATTTACACCAAATTCACTACCTCCTCAAGTATGTGGACACCTGAATGTTACACCTATACATCAGTCCAGCACCATGTTCATGAATGTGCTGCTCTCTCAGCCTCCTCTCTGTAGGGTCCCATACAGAGCAGCAGTGAGCTCCAATGCAGATGTTTTCATTTTGCGGTGTTAACTGTAAAACAACACATTTGAAATTCTTCATTTATTCTCCTTTCTCACAAGACTGTTGTGTATTTAAAACTACTGTTGCTGACCAAGACAACGGTGTTTCAACATAGCCTCTCTTACAGTTGTCATTAATGGTTTAGGAAGTGAAACTAATTATTTTGCACCGACTTCCAATCACTTTTGGTTTCTCACTAAAAACAGAATGCCCATGTGATTCAAGCAGTTTGGTTCCAGCTGATTTTCTCTCTGCCTCATTACAGCTGGTTGTGTGTGTGCAAAGCAATTTTTATATTTTACACTTTGTCTCAGCATTCCTTTTTTTTTTTTTTTTTTAAACCACAAAATGCATCTCTTTAAGATTAAATGATTGAAGTAATTGCAAAACCGCCGTTAGAAGCTGCTCATAAAAATATATAAAAGGCACAAAGCTAAAATTTAAAATTATTCTCGAAACAGAAAATTTGAATTGCAGCTTTATCACAACACCTAAGCTTAGAGCTGCATTTTGTAAATAATCATCAAATGATTCTAAGGTTTATTATCAGACAGGCCAATGTGATCAATTGGAAAAGAGCAATTTCATTTGAAAAGGAAACATACTGTAACTCCAAGTCAGGTCATGTACTGTAGTTTCCCCTGAAGCTAAAACTCCCCCAGCTGCCTCTTCACATGCCAGAGAGCACACAAGCTTTAAAGTTGAAATATAGTGCATCCGGAAAGTATTCACAGCACTTCACTTTCTCCACATTTTGTTATGCTACAACCTTTCATTATTTTCCTTAAAATTCTACAAACAATGTGGTGGAGCGCTGCAGAGATGGTTGTTCTTCTGGAAGGTTTTCCTCTCTCCACAGAGACACGCTGGAGTTCTGTCAGAGTGACCATCGGGTTTTTTGTCACCTCCCTGTCTAAGGCCCTTCTACCCCAATCGCTCGGTTTGGCCAGGCGGCCAACTCTAGCAGGAGTCCTTCCATTTACGGATGATGGGAGGCCTCTGTGCTAATTGGGACCTTCAATGCTGCAGGAATTTTTCTGTACCCAAACCCAGATTTGTGGCTCAATACAATCCTGTCCCAGAGGTTTACAGACAATTCCTTGGACGTCCTGTCTTGGTTTGTGCTCTGACATGCACTGTTAACTGTGGGACCTTATATAGACAGGCATGTGCCTTTCCAAATCATGTCCAATCAACTGAATTTACCACAGATGGACTCCAGTAAAGTTGTAGAAACATCTCAAGGATGATCAGTGGAAACAGAATGCACCTGAGCTCAACTGTGTCAAGGCAAATGATACATGTGCTTTTTTTCGTTTTTTATTTTTAATAAATTTGCTAAGATTTCAACCAAAATTCTTTCAGGTTGTCATTTGTAGAATGATTGTAGAATTTTAAGTAAAATAATGAATTTCATCCATTTTGGAAAAAGGCTGTAACATAAAATGTGGAACAAGTGAAGTGCTGGGAAAACTTTACGTATGCACTGTATTTTGGAGAGCGAGATGACACTTTGTCAAAGCAAATGAAAACGCAGCTAACGCCATGTGTATTTGTCACACTGTCAACCTAATGGGAAAAAACACTATATATATATATTCAGTGTTTTCTGAGCAATGCAGCTGCGCTCCACCAGCACTGCAGTCTGCCCAGTCCCCGACATCAGGAGTACAGACCGGTCAGCTGTACTGGTATCGTTAACATCCATACTCATCCCTCAGTATAATGATGACCTACGTGTTGAAATAAAAGGTAAAAGTCTGACAGTGGTAATGTGGAGGATATATTGTATTGTCATCTTTCATTACTGGTGAGAGCAGCAGTGATTAGTCTATTAATCAAAGAAAGAACTACGGCATTTTGACCGAAAAATGCCAAACATCTGCTGGTTCCAGGATTTCAAATATAAAGGTTTGTTGCTTTCCTCTGTCATATATGTGATATCATAGTAAATGAAATACCTTTCGGTTGTGGACTGTTGATTTGTTTGTTGTTGAATTTAAAGACGGAGATGGACATTTTTTACTTTTTTTGGATCAAACAATAAATCAATTAATTTTTGAAACCAGACACTAGAGCTGCATTAGTTAAAGACTTGTCAACTATTAAATTAATCACCAATTACTCATTTTGAGTAATAACGATTGCATAAAAGTGAATAATTACATAATTAAAAAGACAAATGTCCAAATTTTCTGATTTCAACTTCTTCTGTGTTTACATTTTCTGATTGTGACAAAACGAGACATTTGAGGACCTCATCTTTGGGAAACACTGATCAACATTTACCATTTTCTCTCCCAAACAACTAATCAATTAATCGTGAAAACGATTGACAGATTATTTGACAATGAAAATAATCGTTAGTTGCAACCCTAGAAAACTCAAAACTGGGACACTTTAGTGTGCATGTACCAGTTAACTCCAGTGCAAAGTCTAAGATAACAGTTATGTATGTATGCATACTGTCTGGCTCTCAAGGCCCGATATACTGCCAAATCCCAAAAATCTAGATGCGCTAAAAAAATCTTGTTCAGAGGGGTGCGCAGTGCTGGCTGACCCTCTTCTGCAGCTCTGAAACCATATCAATCCACCTAATGTTAAAGCTAAATGCCACAGTGGGTGAGCTCGCTGTAAACAACAGCTGCACTGGAAGAGGCTTTCCCTGCAGCACTTTGGCAACTTGAAATTACTGCACACAAACTGCAGCAGGAAACGCCAAGTGCAACATTGGAGCGGAACAAACATTGATTTCCTGGGAAGGAAAGAAGGCCAACAACAACCATGGTACCGCTGGAGATTCCTTAGCGAACGCCTGAGCAGCTTAGCCCAGCGTACAAGCAAACAGCGAACAGAAAAATATCAAATAAGCCGAAACTAATAATCATGGTGCAGCTGTAACGCCACCAAAGGATGCCATAATATTAAAACAGAGGTGTTCACCAACAGCGTTCAGCCTGTTTGACAACTAGCAAGCTAGTTAGCATGAAGTAATGTATTAAACGCGGCTTATAAAAGTCTCCAACGTGGTTCTTACCCTTAAAACTCGCTACTTCAGGCGTTTTAATTTTCTGAATCAACCCTCGGAAGGTTTCAATCGGCAGGTTTCAACCTCAACGTAGCAGACAAGTCATCTGTTTCCCCTTCGTCTGCTCGGACAGGATGGAGGTAGCCTGGATATGATAAAACTGAAGCGGAGGATTCTGGGATATGAAGTCTGTAGCGACGGCTTTCAGCTTTTGGTTGGCGTGGCGGTTCCCCCTGGCGGCCATGTTGGAGATGACCATCTTTTAGAGCATTTTCGTCTTTTTTATTACATTTACATTTTGAAAGATTTTATTAATAATATAATGAATGTGAAACGTTTTAAAATACCAGTAAAAAATACACCAGATCATTTATCAATCATTTACATAATTTCATACATTAATCATTATTCTTAAATTTGCAAACACCCTGTTATCATACTTTTGAGTTTAGGCCCCTTAGTTAAAATGAAGGGAAATCTTAATGCTACAACTTACAATGATATTAGATAGACAATGCGTGTTTGTCCCAGTGGTGTAGAAGTATACCACACTGTAAAAAAATACTTTGTCACAAGTAAAAGTGAATTTTATGCTAAGTAAAAGTATGTATAATCAGGAAAATGTACTCAAGTAAGTACTGGGCATGTATTAAAAGTACGTTATGCAGTTAAATGTCCCCTGTGGCTACTATTATTCATCATTAGATTATTATTCCTCACGCAGCCATGTAGAAGGGAGATTTAATTGCTGCAGTTGTTGAGGTAGAGCTCATTTTGTATCGGACAACAGCTAATGATTATTTTCATTATGGATTCATCTGCTGATTATTTTCTCCATTAATCAATTATGGATTTGTTTGTTAAAAATTCTGAAAATAGTGAGAATACTGTCACAATTACCCAGAGCCCACAATGCTTGTTTTTAACCGACAGTTCAAACCTCCATATTATTACGGATACTTCAAAATTATTTATAATTATTAAAGTAGTTAAAAGGAAAAGTTACTTTTTCTTTTCTGTCAATCGACTATATTAACCAACTAATTGTTTCAGCTGTACTTGGTAGTTTAATACATAACAATCCATCTTAATGTAAAAAATGTGCACCAGCTCCATAAAGAAATGTTTCTCTCGGGGTTGGTGTGAAAGAGCTGGTTGTCCTGCACAAAACCTGACCTCAACCCAATGCAATATTTCCTCACACTTGATAAAAACTACAGTGCCCAGATGTTTTAGGAAATTAAATTAAATTAAAACTTAAAGTATGTACTTGTGAGGTGTTTTTAAGTCTCGAGTAGAAACCAGAAATTGATCAGATCAGAAGATCAGAAATTGAGAGACACACATTGATGGTATTTCAGTCACATATGGGTGTAATGTTTGGGTCTCCACATACTTTACACCATATCATGTTCTGTATATGAGTGATAATGTCATGAGTGTGTCAGGGTGTAAAAACTCCGTTCCTTACTTGATCAAATGAAATCTTCCGCATTGCTCACACCTGTATTTATTCACAAATGTGCCAAACGTTTTTTTTGCCCATGAAAACATTACTACATGTTTGTGTTTTAATCACTTAAGTAAAACTCTAATATTGGTTATGATGCTAATATCAGCAGAGTTTCCGGAATTAAAAACAAAATTGATAAATCATAATTGTTCATGGTCTCCAAGTAATGATTACTATCATCCACACAATTATCACAGTAATCAGCTCCAAAATGTAACATAACGGTTGCTTTCGTTAGAGGCATATGCAATAGAAGAGAAACAACATACAAGTACAATCATCAAATACGCAGAGGATGGATAATGATGCTGGATGAATCTGAAAGCTCTAATTTCTCTGTGACAAAGCTGTTTTAGTGGCTGTACTGCCAGAGACTGACAGTATAAAAACAGAATTTAAACAACTGAACAGAACTTAAATGACTGTCTATTTGAGCTTACAAAACTCAACAGTGTCTTCATAACAACAAAAACTTAGTCCAGCATAGAGAGGCTGGGTGAATGTGGTCTGGACTCTGTGGAGGAGAGTCATGGTTTCAGAGACGCTGTAGAAGGACAGAATACCTGCACTGTGATCCAGGTACACTCCTACTGTGGAGGACTGATGATCTGAAACAAGAGACTTGACATTGCTGTACAAAAAATGATAACTGTCATAGTCAAAATCTAATGCCCAAGATTTGTCATTGAGTCCAAATCTACATTCATCCGACCACCCTGCTCTCCTGATATTTTTGTATGCGACTGCTACACAAACTCTCCCTCTCCACTCCACCTCCCAGTAACAACGTCCACTCAAACTCTCTCTACTCAGGACCTGAGAACATTTGATGAATCTGTCTGGATGATGAGAATACCACTGTTCTTCTCTCATTAATGTTGCCTTTCTGTTCCCCTCAGATAATAACAGCTGTGTGTGTGCTGTGTTTGGGTCCAGTGTGATTTCACGTGAATATTTTAAGAACTCAGCTCTGGTCTTGGGCTCTGGTTGTGGATCTGACATCAGATCAACATCCACTTCAGTCACTGTCAGTGAGATGTTTGTCCATTTCTCACTCAGAGCGTCCTGTAGTTTGTCTCTGACTTCTGACACAGCCGCTGTCACATCTTCAAAGTAGCGCAGAGGACAGATGTTGATGCTGGATGAGTCTGTAGATTCACTGAGTGCTGACAGTGAGGGGCAGTTGTGTAGAAACTGGTTGTGATCCTCTGTGTGTGAGAGCTGCTTCAGCTCAGCGTCTTTCCTCTTCAGCTCAGTGATCTCCTGCTCCAGCTTCTCCTGAAGCTCTTTGACTCGACTCACTTCAGTTTCCTGCTGGGATCTGACCTGCTGCTTCACATCAGAGCGTCTTTTCTCCATCAGACGGATCAGCTCGGTGAAGATCTTCTCACTGTCCTCCACTGCTTTATCAGCAGAGTGATTGATAGCCTCCACCTCCTGCTGAAGCACCTTCACATCTTTCTCTCTGTCCTGGATTCTCTGCTGGATGTTTTGTTGACTCACCTCGAGCTGTCTCTGCCTCTCAGTCCTTTCTGCTGCAGCTGAGAACATCTTCATCACCTCATCATGACGAGAGCAGATGTTCTCCTGGAGCTTCTTGGAGGGCTCCACCAGCTTGTGTTTCTCAAAGGCAGGAGATTCAAAGTGAGGCTGGAGGTGTTTCTCACAGTAAGAGACCAGACAGACCAGACAGGACTTGAGGGCTTTCAGTTTTCTCCCAGTGCAGACATCACAGGCCACATCTTCAGGTCCAGCATAGCAGTGATCAGCAGGAGCAGCTTGGAGTCCAGTCTTCTTCAGTTCCTCCACTAAAACTGCTAACATGGTGTTTTTCAGCAGGACAGGCCTCGGTGTGAAGGTCTGCCTACACTGAGGACAGCTGTGGATTCTCTTCTCCTCCTCTTCATCCCAGTGGGTTTTAATACAGTTCATGCAGTAGCTGTGTCCACAGGGAATAGTCACCGGATCCTTCAGGAGATCCAGACAGATGGAACAAGAGAAGGCTTCCTGGTCCAGCTGAACTTTCTGCGCCATCTCACCTCTCAGTGGGAACTACTGACTTTCACTTTCTTAGAACTCAAACCAGTTTGAGCTCTGATCCAAACAGCATGTGTTTCTGCAGTGAATGGGGTCTGTCAGCTCCTGCACTTCACTACAGGTTGGTTACACCATCCTCAAGATCTGAAGGGGAGGGAACAAGGAAATATAAGTCATGGACATAAGAGCTCGCTGTTCTTTGAGAGTGCATTTTGAGCAACTTATACATCTACCCCACTACACCTTAGAGGCAAATACTGATACATAGATACCGATACTGCTTACCTATACTGATACTTGTGGATACTACTCTCCATTATTTGGTCCAAAAATTATCATTATTTTTAGCAGATTTATTAGGTAGCCTATCACTGGTTGACAGGACAGTTCACACTAAGTTCAAACTGAGGCTAACTAGCAGTTAGCGATGTATGCTAGCTATTAGCTACCCAGCGGACTAGATTTCAATTCCTTAAACAATACTTTATTTATTTATTAAACTAATTGGATCAAGCACTATTTAAAAACCCTGCTTAGTTTTGTAACTGTGTGTCGCACCATGTTTTGTCACATATTTTATGCCACTACAGAATAGATAAAATTATTGTTGCCATGTCTAAATTTCATAAACAGTACTTCTCACTTGGTCCGTGACAGACAAGCATAATTTTTCACCACATAGATATTATATTTGGACTAACAGGGACTTTTTATGTAACAATAAATCTCCTTTCTTATTAGAACTAGCTTTGACTAATGACAAATTATTTTGGTGGGCAGATTGTTTAAGGAGAAAGGATTGTTGTTTAATTATGAAGAATTTCTTCATCGCTAAAAGATTCTAGTAACTCCTCAACAATTTGCAATAGGGAGACGCTCTCCCTAACTTGCTACCCTCTTGAGCTAAGAAATGGCTGTTTTGATAGTATGGTCTCCAAAAGCAATATAAATATCCGCATTTTGTTTCAAAAGAATTTTATAGCAGTACTAACTGCATTCTGGAACACGTATGTTCTGGATATGCTGGAAGGAAGTGTGGACTCAAATATATGTTGGTGAATAAAGTCAGGGATATTTCCTTAAAGATTTTGCATCATTTTTACCCTGATTTATAATTGATAATATTTATTTCGACTACTGTATAAGAATGTAATTTTTGGTTTAATGAATGTTGAATGTGATCTTATAGACTAAATACTTTTAATTATTTTTTTTTAAATTTGCTAATGCCAAACCAATATCCTCTGTACTTCAGAAAGAATATAAGTCATATATTAAAACGATAACATCATCCCGAAACAAAAAAGCTATAAAAACTGTGAAAGTATGCACTTTACACAAAATATTTGTAGAATTATAATCCCTGCTTCTGTTTCTCTAAAAAAAAAAAAAAAAAAGAAATTGTGTGTGTAATCTTTACTATATTTATCACAGTCTATGGTATTTATACTTACATGGCCAGTCCCCCCTAGTTCTACGCCCCTGTCCAGGGGTACCTTTACTTTTGATTCATTTTGCTGGTGATAGCTGACATATCTACAAACCTAGATGCAGGGCTTACTAGTAGTGGAGTATTTTTACAGTGTGGTATCAGTACTTTTACTCAAGTGAATGATCTGATTAGACTACTTCTGCCACCACTGGTTCTTCTGTTACCAAGTGGGGACTCACTATAACCGTTTCTACTCTCCACAACACAGAAATCTAACTTCCTCTAAATGTTACAATAACATTGTTTTTACACTCTTGGCATGTTAGCAAGTTATTACAGCCACAGTAACTCTGTTTAAGATCCACAACTTACCTGAAAAACCTGGAGAAATAATCAGGAGAGTGATGAGGTGATGTTTCCTCAGCGAGAATCAGTCTGAAAAGGAACAACAGCGATTTTATCCGCAGCAGCTATGTGGGCGGAGACAGAAGCAATCGTGTTTAGGTTTTCAGATTCAGACCACCATGTAGATCACAGATTAACACTATTACAGTGTGAAATAAACACTTTGGTGTTTAAACAACATTTTTAGCTTTATTTTTTTATTTCCGTGGTGGTCTTTGGGTGGCGCTGCGGGTAGCCATGGCAACATCAGTCTTCTTTCTGTAGGACTAATTAGAAGTCTGAGATAAGTTTTTGACTCTGAAAGTTGTTGGTGACACCAGAGGATGCAAAGTACAGTGAAAAGCACTCCATCATTTTATCATCAAATAGACCATGAAGTTACTATGTTTTATTGTTTTGTTTTACTTGTAACGTATGTTGAGAGCATAATCTTTGAATTTGTCAAAAGAGATTCATTCCAGGAAGAAGAGCGGTTTGAGAGAGATAGGCTACTGAGTGTTTAACACTTCTTTACAATAAAGGTCATTTAAAAACACTGGTCACTTCAGCTTTTAGGAGGTCAACTCTTCTAAGAATCAGGGGATTTGGAGAGTTTTTATTGATTACAACAATTCAAATACATAGGCCTACATGAAAGACAGTTACATTAATCACTACTGTACAGATGACGAAACTCCAATAATGTAATAACATAATGAAACAATAAGTCATTAGTTACTTGTTCAACTCTGTTGTAGCAGTTGTTGGAGCTGAATACACAATTTACATGCATGGAGGAGGGGGACTGTCTGGGGAAACTGGTTCTGGTCTGTAAAGGTGTGAAGGTGTCTCCATACAAATAGTTCAGCTATTGCCGGTGACCTGAGGATGGCCATCAGGATGCTAATGCTAATGAGGTTGAACACAAAGAAATTCTAGGTTAGGTAGGACAATAACTAAAACCATGATTTGATATGCCCAGGATAGGATTAGATTATGTGCATGTGATGTACAGTTCAAACAATGTAATTACCACAGAGATATATACAGTAAGTTCTTTGGTGATTACAGTGGAACATATAGGCTGGATTTAACAACACAAACAACTATTATAGTATAATAATACAGCATTATCGTATAACACAGTTTGCTGAAGTCTACGTACAGTTTGAAACACATTTCTATAATTAGCAGCAAAGCAAAAGCTATTCTGAAAAACAAGAGAACAGTTTTCAGTCAACAATCCTGCATCGGAGACTTGGTGCACAAATGTCACAGTGTTCAAGAAACTATGTAGTTCTCACTTACACTTTATTCATTGACTGTAAAATTATCCTCGTTTATTTTGCTCCGCTACATCCCACCTCAGGCCTGTTAGTAAGCCTGTAGTCAAGAATGTGAGAAGCTGGATCAACATGTCAAAGCTGGAACTATAGGCCTTCACTGACGGCACTGATTAGAGTGTTGTTGAGGCTGTAGCCACAGACCTGTACAAACTCACTGACTCTGTGACATCTTACATCAGTTTTTGTGAGGTGTGCCAACTAAAACCTTCTGCAACTACACCACAAACCCTGGTTTACAGCCAAACTCAAGCAGCTTTGTCAGTCCAAGGAGGAGGCCTACAGATGTGGGGACAGAATCCTGACAGACAGATCCTCCCCCCATGTGGAAAACCACAGACTGGCTAACGACCTGAATGTGTTTTACTGTAGGTCTGAGAAGCCCACATTCACACTTCATGCCAGCCACCTACACCCCCACTGACCCCCCCATCTGCACACAGATCTTCTACAGATCACTGGAGCTGTGTGATCTTCCCTGCTGCTTCAAACACTCCACATTCATCCCGGCCCCCAAAAAACCCTCTCTTTCAGGATTAAATGACTACTGGCCCTGGTGACTGGTGTTGGCCCACCTGAAAGACATTACAGGCCCCTTGCTGGATCCCCTGCAGTTTGCCAACCGGGCATAGAGGTCAGCGGATGATGCAGTCTACATGGGACTGGACAACTGCAGGACTCCTGCAGCACCTCGACTCTCCAGGGACATATGCAAGGATCCTGTTTGTATCTTCAACTCAGTGATTAACACTGTGACGGCCCCTCTGCAGGGTTCATACTGCTGTTGGTGTGCTTTCTGTCTCCAGGGCTGCAGACCTGATTGGCACTCATCTCACAGCTTCCTTTGTTTGGTTGGTTTCTTGTCTTTGTTTTCACAGCACAACATCCATGCAGCACATTTTCACTCATCCACTCCCTACACTGCTGACTTTACAGACTCTTCCCACTCATTGGTTTCACTTATTTTCTTATTAATAAATCGTTTTGTTATTTTGTTTACCAGTGTGTCTCCTGTTTTTGTCCAGTCCATGAGCCGGGCTGTGACAACACCATCATCCTTCACACCCAACTCACCCAGCTCACTGTGCCAGCCTCCACCTGTAGGTGGATCACCAACTTCCAGACTGACAGGAGACAGCCGGAGATTAGCACTGAGCAATCCCCACTGCTCTTCTCCCTCTACACAAACTACTGCTCCTCAAGAGACCCATCTGTCAAATCCCTGAAGTTCACATATACAAACAACCAGGATCACTCACACCTAAGGACAATTTGGAGACACCAATTAACCCAACGGATTAACCTAGCCTGCATGTCTTTGGATGGCGAGAGGAAGCGGGAGCACCTGGAGAGAACCTACGCAGACACAGGGAGAACATGCAAACTCCACACAGAAAGGCCTGGGTTCAAACCCACGACTGACTTGTTGTGAGGCGACAGTGCTAACCACTGCAGAGCACTGTACGCCAAAATGAACAGACACAGGAGCAGTTTCTACCCACAGGCCATTACTCGGATGAATAGTTGAATTTAGACACCGAGTGGCAGAACAATCCCTGTGCAATAGCCTCGTGACTCTGACATCCACCTGTATGCTGTTTACCATTTTGTGTGTTTGTAATTTAGTAGTTGTTCATATTGTACAGCATCTGTGGGGCATCCTCAAATGGAAGGTGATGGAGCGCAAGGTCTCTCCGTGATGTCGTCATGGAGGAGTGGAAGAGGACTCCAGTGGCACTGCGAAGCTCTGGTGAACTCCATGCTCAGGAGGGTTAAGGCAGTGCTGTAAATTAATGGTGGCCACAAAATATTGATACTTTGGGCCCAGTTTGGACATTTTCACTTAAGGGTGTACTCACTTTTGTTGCCAGTGGTTTAGACATTAATGGCTGTGTGATGTGTTATTTTGAGGGGACTGCAAATTTACACTGTTATACAAGCTGCACACTCACTACTTTACATTGTAGCAAAGTGTCATTTTTCCCAGTGTTGTCACATGAAAAGATAATCAAATATTTACACAAATGTGAGGCGTGTACTCACTTTTGTGAGACACTGTATATACACTATCCACCTACTCATATTAATTGTTACACTTGAACAAAATTGTTTATTCCAGAATCCTTTGCACTCTGCTCCACAACAATATTGCCTTGCTGTCTACAAATGTTGGTTTTGTTTATAGGTTAGGCATTTCACCTTGCTGTTTGAGAGCAGGAAGAAGAGTGCATTGCACTGCATTTTATGCAACTTCTACTTTTACTCCACTATATCTCAAAGGCAAATACTGAACTTTCACTATATTTGTCTGACAGTTTTATCTACTAGCTTATTTGAATTAGCTCAACCTGTAATATCTACAGCAGTAAAATCCTGCACACACGTTAATGCAGCATCTCGAACATTCTGATGCATTTTTTAAATGTGCGTCTGGGAAGAATGTAAATAGCAGCAACAACACTGGTACTAAGACGTTTCAATACAGATCCTTAGTAATACTACTCTACATAATTTAGTGCAAAAAGACTAACATGAAACGATTCAACACTTAGTTACTTTGAGCAAAAAACATACAAGGCTAACCTCGTAACATTGTTAGCAGTTAGCGATTTATACTATGCTAGCTCCACTGTAGTGAAGGTCTGTAAATCAAACTTGTATGGTTTCATGAGGCTGCTGTTAACTTTTCTTTACATGCAACTACTTGTTTACATATATAGCACTTTCATTAAATGTGTTGTTGCAACGGGAGAGCACAGAATGTTTTTTTTATTGCAACATCAGTACAATGACAACGTACATAGATATACCATAGACCATATAAAAAATATATAGGAGGGGTTAAGTTGTAAATAAATAAAATTTAAATAGGCTTTGGGGTTTTAAGAGTGCTGAATAGTTTGTATGCATTATTGCCTTTCATTGATTAAACTTTAAATAAAGATTTGCGGTTACAAAATATTATTTTCTGAATGTGAAATTTTGCTAATTAAAAGATTTATGATAAATACTGTTTTTATTCTAAAATGCAGGCATCATAAAAGCCAAACAGCACATCTTTGTACAGCAATGAAAAATGGGCAGAATGTTACAACGGATATATTGTGTAAAGTCTTTCCAAAAAGTAACAGTACAGAGACCGCTCCAAAATAAGTTGTTTCAAGATCACAGAAAGAGCAGTTAATATCAATGTAATTTCTTAGTCTTTGCAAGTAATGTTTAGCAGGGTAGCACTGATGGAGAAGTTTAAAACAGTCAAGGTTTGTGAAGTATCTTGAAGTTATGGTCCAAACTTTTTTCCACTTGACATCTGAAACAAATCTTCCCCAGTAAAGAATTACATATGGGGTGGTAAACATGTCTTGGACTTAATTCTTGATTCTTCTGTTCTGGCTTGAAGGGCTGTATAAAAGACATATTTTCCCTATTATGGGGTCATTCAACAACAACAGACAAGGAGAAAGAAGCAGTTTAGTGTTACCCTTATATTTTCCAAATAAGAATAAATGGCATCCTATCAATAGAATCAACAATTAAGGCAAGTGCAGCATGTGTTAGCCTGGATATACCTTCAGCTTTTGTTAATAGAGTTCAACCTCTTAAGGACAAGTGCCTCTGGAGCCAGAGGTTTCTGGGTTTTATTGATGATAGGGCAGAAGTTTAGCTTGCAATGCCATATAGGGAAGTGTGTTCACATTGTTTAATGGGTTACAGCTCACACTTTTAATGTTTAAATAAAGACCTTATGCTGCAGAGGATAACAAAGTGTTTATGGGCAACAGGAATTTGGTTTGAATCTTTCAAAAAAAAGTGTAGTGTCATCAGCTACCTGAGTTGAGGTAATCCGTCTGCCTGCAAGAGAGATACCTTAAATATTTCTTTCATGAATTAATGTGGGGAGGAATTGAGCAGTAAGGAAAAAATAAAATATGATGAGACCGGGCAGCCTTGACTAACACCTCGAGATAATTGAAACTGGGGTGAGGTACCATATTTAATTAAGTGTTTTGATATATTTACAGAAATAAGTACCTAAACCAAATTTGAAAAATGTGTTCTTTGGAATCCAAGGCCTTATAAAAGTCTAAAACTAATCTAATAAATCAGGAAACAGCCTAACAGCAACCGGCACTTGCATGCCCAGAGGTTCTGATAGTCTAGTTGCAAATCAGCCACTACAGTGGACGCTAGTGTGTCATGCCGCACACTGCCACCCTCTGGTAAGACATTGTAAGTGCAACTTAAATTTGTCAAAACCCAAGATGGCCGACAGACAGTCAGAAACGCTCAGCGGCTCAGGTAAATCTTACAATTCCTCCAATTATAGGAGACTCCTGCAGGTAAATAAAATTTGGTAACTTCTAATAACAACTAAGGAGTAATACAATTGTTAAACTTTCCAAATACTGATTTTATGTTGGGAGGAAATTACGAATAATCATCTGTCCACTAAATTGGACATTATGCATAGCTGGCTTTATTTAAACTACAATCAACTATTACTGAGACTTTGTTTTTCTTGAAAATACTTAATGTACCCTAACCCTTGCATTATCATTCAGTACCATAACGTATAGTTGTATCAACATGTTTTTAGTCAACAACGGACTGTCAAATCAAATATTTCAGTTTTCACATCAAACTGGAGGGATAATAAATAACTACTCTAATAATAAATTCTAAATTTAAGTAAACTAAAATAAAGTGCCTATTAGTGACCTCTGATTTAGTGTCTTGCAGCAAGTAATAGAAAGGCAAGATAGTGGAGCCAATTCCATCAGAACCAAGTAAGGATAATACTAGTGGCAGTGATGATGAATGGCTACCAGAAATAGGAGAAACCTCAAATAGTGGAGCAGTGATCGTAGAGCTGAGGATGCTGAGAAAGAGAGGCTGAGGATCCGGAAGTGAGGTTCAACGTTTTTGCATTGCATTAAATAGTATTAGAATATGTTCATTAGTTTGTTAAATACATATTTCTTCAGTTAAAACCTTACGTGCACACTAGACTGCTCAGATAACCCATCCTCAGTCAGCGCACAATGTGGAAGCAGATTTTATAACCAGGAGTATCTGTTTAACTCTACCTCTCACAAAACTCCAGGAGTTGACGCCATCGCTCCCGTCCTCTATGACAATAGTTCCATGTGGGAACAAGTCAGCTCTTCAGCAGTCTGAGCTGACAAAATCCATTTTAACCGTCTTTTTAACTTTTTAAAGCAGTGTGGAAAGTCCGTTCTTATCTCTGGTCCCATTCCCACAGTTCGTCGTGGTGCTGGCCGCTTCAGTAGACTCCTTGGCCTCCACGACTGGCTCCAGTCCGCCTGCAGGGCTCACCGTGTGTGTTTTATTGATAATTGTAATCTTTTCTGGCAGAGTGTCTCTTTTTAAGACAGACGGACTTCACCCAAACAAACTGGGCTCAGAAATTTTAGCTGCTCACATACAGCATGTGGTGCAGTCCTCCCCACATGACTAACGTGATTGACTAATCATTCATGCAGCACACCTGGACACACCACCTGTCACTGAACAGAACTCTGCTTCATTGACACTGACAATTGCCTAGTCGACCTCTAGCTGCACCTACCAGAATGTAAAGCAATCTCCTCCTATCGCTATTCCAAAGACTTTTATTCCTGCAATCATAACGCAATCATAACGCATAGACCTGTAATCCAAAACGTGCATATCCCACACAGAAATCCTAAGAATCTAGGATTAAGACAAATAAACCAATTCCAGCACCCAGTACTTAAAGTCGCATTCTGAAATATGAGACCAATTTCAAGTAAGACTTTTATTTTGAATGATTTGATTTTATCTGCAAATGTAGATTTTGACCATAGCCGGCTAGCTGAACTGTGATCTCCTCAATATGATTGTTTTAGTCAACCCAGGGTCAGTGGTCGTGGACTAGTGAGCGTGCATGGTAAAAATATTAAATGTCATCAAGTAACTCTGTGTTGAATTTGCTTCCTTGGTGGCCTACAACCTATATATTTGCTATAATTGATCGCCTCCCAAAATCGCTTGGAGGAGTTTTATCAGAACTTCCTGAATTTTTATCTACTCATGTTTTAAACTATGACAGAGTTGTTCTTTGTGGCCAATTTAATATTCAGTGCTCTTAAGTCGGAATGTGGAATCAACATAGACAACATAGACGCTACTTCAAAGATTTATTGGATTAGCATTTTCAGAGCATAAAAACAACACGCATACATCTAGTTCACTCTACATTGACAGCAAACTAACTGGTATAAATATATTACAAATGACATGTTTGCAAAATATTTATATGCAATATGTCCCATGTACACTATTTTCCTTTTTTCTTTTAAAAAAAAAGATTTGAGGAAGAAAAAAAGATTCTGGTTATTCCATCAGCACATGAATGAATGAATAAATGAACAGGTTAATATCAGAATGTCATTTTGAGTAAAGGGTCTATTTTAATGTTGGATGCATTTTAACAAATAAATAACTAAATAAAATTGATAAATACCTAAAATAATAAATATTAATGATGAAAATATAATTACTTAATCAAATCTGAATCCCACAGGAGATGAATTGCTCTCTTTATGTGGGTAATGACAAAGAAGATCTAGGTTTAGAACAATAACAAAATAGGGTATCTAAATGGTAGTAAAGGCTGAAAGGAAACGTGACAGTGGAACACATTATGTAAAGAGCGACCTCTAGAGGAGAATCTGCAAACACCTGACAAGGGGCAAGATTGAAGATTAAAGTTCAATGGGCACTTAATAACAGACATTGACCCAATGATTATCAGCATTTAAATTGTAATTTATATAAACAACCTACCCAGCTTTAACTCGACTGCCTCAACACTTTGCATGCTGACATCTAACTTTAAACATAACAATATGCAAAGTACCTTATTGCATTTATTTGAGTGATGTACTTTACTTTAACTGGATTATACTTAACATTTTAGCTGCAAAATGCCACTATATTATGTAAATAAAATATACAGTTTAAATTCTCCATCAGTTTGTCAGTTTGTGTTTGTCAGATCAAACACAATGACAGAAATCTGCCTTTAAACATCTGCAAGGTACCTAAATACATTTATTTGAGTACTGTACTTAAAATATTTGAAAAAATTTACATTTAACTGGATTATACCAAAATTTTAGATGTACAATGCTAATTATGGAAATAAAATATACAGTTTATCAGTACACATGCAGAGTATGTCAGATGTACAAATTTGAAAGAACAGCAACTTAATGGATCAATGTCACCAAATTCTGAAAACAATAGTACTTAACTTAAAAGCAGGACTTTAAGTATTTAACTTACTTAGAAACGTAAGATTAACTGCGTAATCAGCATTAATAGGCACAGGTACCATGGCAAAGAAAACAGAGTGCAAAACAGCAGCCAACTATTATGCCTCAACTGAGGATCATGTATTTTCAGTTCAGCAGTGTTTGCCTACTTAAGCTCGCATATCTCAGCAGTGTTTCCAGTGGGACCATAAAGATGAAATCCAGCATAGAGAGGCTGTGTGAATGTGGTCTCGAGACTGATGAGGTGAGTCATGGTTTCAGAGATGCTGTAGAAGGACAGAATACCTGCTCTGTGATCCAGGTACACTCCTACTCTGGAGGACTGAGGACCTGAGACGGCATATGTGACGTTATTACATCTGAATTCATAACGACGTTTGTAAAAACCTAATGCCCAAGACTTGTTATTATCGCCAAATCTTTCATTTAAACTGTTATTGTCTTTGTATGCTACTGCTACTAAAACTCCTCCCTCACCTTTCTCCACCTCCCAGTAACAACGTCTAGTCAAACTCTCTCTACTCAAGACTTGAAGCTTGTCAGTGAATCTGTCTGGGTGACTAGAATATGACTCTTCTTCTTCCATGAATGTTGCTCTTCTGTCCCCCTTAGATAATAACAGCTTTGCGTGTGCTGTGTTTAAATCCAGTGTGATGTTTCGTGAATATTTTAAGAATCCAGCTCTGGTCTTAGGCTTTGGATCTGACAATAAAACATCCACTTCAGTCACTGTCAGTGAGATGTCTGTCCATTTCTCACTCAGAGCGTCCTGTAGTCGGTCTCTGACTTCTGACACAGCCGCTGTCACATCCTCAAAGTACCACAGAGGACGTTTCTTGATGCTGGATGAGTCTGTAGATTCACTGAGTGCTGACACTGAGGGGCAGTTGTGTAGAAACTGGTTGTGATCCTCTGTGTGTGAGAGCTGCTTCAGCTCAGCGTCTTTCCTCTTCAGCTCAGTGATCTCCTGCTCCAGCTTCTCCTGAAGCTCTTTGACTCGACTCACTTCAGTTTCCTGCTGGGATCTGACCTGCTGCTTCACATCAGAGCGTCTTTTCTCCATCAGACGGATCAGCTCGGTGAAGATCTTCTCACTGTCCTCCACTGCTTTATCAGCAGAGTGATTGATAGCCTCCACCTCCTGCTGAAGCACCGTCACATCTTTCTCTCTGTCCTGGATTCTCTGCTGGATGTTTTGTTGACTCACCTCGAGCTGTCTCTGCCTCTCAGTCCTTTCTGCTGCAGCTGAGACTGTGTCGTGGCCTTTATGTTCATCCACAGAGCAGAGATAACAGATACTCTGCTGATCAGTACGGCAGAACATCTTCATCACCTCATCATGACGAGAGCAGATGTTGTCCTGGAGCTTCTTGGAGGGCTCCACCAGCTTGTGTTTCTTTAATGGAGCCACATCAGAATGAGGCTGGAGGTGTTTCTCACAGTAAGAGACCAGACAGACCAGACAGGACTTGAGGGCTTTCAGTTTTCTCCCAGTGCAGACATCACAGGCCACATCTTCAGGTCCAGCATAGCAGTGATCAGCAGGAGCAGCTTGGAGTCCAGTCTTCTTCAGTTCCTCCACTAAATCTGCTAACATGGTGCTTTTCACCAGGACAGGCCTCGGTGTGAAGGTCTGCCTACACTGAGGACAGCTGTGGATTTTCTTCTCCTCCTCTTCATCCCAGTGGGTTTTAATACAGTTCATGCAGTAGCTGTGTCCACAGGGAATAGTCACCGGATCCTTCAGGAGATCCAGACAGATGGAACAAGAGAAGGCTTCCTGGTCCAGCTGAACTCCTTTCTGCGCCATCTCACCTCTCAGTGGCAACGACTGTCTTAAGTTTCACTTTCTTAGAAGTGAAACCAGTTTGAGCTCTGATCCAAACAGCATGTGTTTCTGCAGTGAATGGGGTCTGTCAGCTCCTGCACTTCACCAAATGTTGGTTACACCTGTCTTTAAACTGTAGATCTGAAGTGGAGGGAATAAGGAAATATAAGTTATGGACAGAGAGGAGCTCGCTGTGTCGGAAAGCAGGAAGAAGAGGGAGGGGTTATCAAGCTTTGGTTCATTCCAGGAAGAGGAGTGGTTTGACAGATTCAAGGTGTGTTTGTTTTGTTCAAGTGACATTGACGAGCTACATTCAGCACACGGCTGCTTGAAAGGCACCCGAGCTTCTCTTCTCCCTCCTCTCTCTCCGCTGACAGAGTTTAGCAGGCAGGTGAGAACGGGAACAGGTGAGCGTTACATATAGCCCAGAGAACCTGATATGGAGAGGGCAGAGGAGAGTTCCGGCAGCTTGGGAGAAGTGGGCTGTAAGTCCCGGCCTAAAATGTCGAGGTGCCGGTACTGCGTGCGTACTGGTGCGTTCCGGCCCACTTCAAGCACTGGTTTTGTTCCTCATCATTCCCCGGTATATTGACAATATGACAACATGATAATGTACTGACTCTGTGTCCTTTCTACTCCAGATACCTAGTTTTAAATAAATAATAGTAAATAATAAATAATAATAAAGGCTAAATATGCTATTCAGTTGTGAGTTTTATCAAGTGAAAATAAGTGACATAGAAACTCAAGCTCTGCTCCTCATGGAGATGTTTACTTAGTGTACATAGGTATAAAGTCTTTCAGTTAACAACAAACAAAAGGTGTGGGGCCCTCATACAGACAGAGGTTAATTACTTGGCCTGTACCTGTAGCTGGCTGTAGTGGCAGTTCCGTGTAACCTCTCTCATGAAAAAGAACAGTGAAGAAGGAGCCAGAGCTAGTAGTTAAAATATATTTTGGAGATACCCAACATTAAGGGCAGGTGTGTACACTGTCTTTTCTTCAGAACAAGGAGGTTACCTTTATGTGACTGTATGTCTGGACATGAGGGTTCCGACTGTTGTTTGACCCAGGGTTCAAGTTATAGGCTAATCTGAGCTTCTTGGGGGTTTCTAATATAGGCCTACTACCTAAAGTTACCGGCGGGGGGTAGAGAGAGAGAGAGATCATTGCTTATTACGTGATTCAACATTTCCCCCTCTCACACAAACACACACAGCAGTCCACTACTTGCCCCAGATGTCTGCGATATTGCAACATGCTGTAGGCCTTCTCGCAATCCGTTAAGTTTCAACGCCTGAAAAATGGCATCAAAGGCTATTGCTGAAGGAGAGACCGCAATTCCGTCCTTTATGGTAAAATTAATGTGGTATTATTTTCCGCACTGCTTGTCGACGGCACACAGTAGCAAGCATATTATCATTTGTAGCGCTGTACTAATTAGAGGATGCATGAAAAAGCTAATAATACTAAAGAAATAAGCTGCAGTCAATACAGAGTAATACAGTAGGCTACAATAGGCCATCAACTGAGAATATTTGCGGGTCGCGGCCTCAACCCGGTCAAAACTGTGCGCTCGCACGATAGTGGCTGGTGATGGAGAAGTGCAGCCATCCTGTCAGTCATGCGATGTGCAGCGTGGTTCATTAGGTAAGTATGTTCATTTAAGTCTGTTTAACTTGTTTAATGTAAATAATAGTAGGTACTAATTACAATGAAAAATACATTATTTGTCATACAAAATAATGGTTGTTGATAAATGAATTAGCCCCACAGATGCATGATTTTACTGCTTCCATGGGAACTCAGACCCTTTTCATGGGAGCTGAGCTCCCACTGGCTCCCACGTAACTCGAATCCTGGTTTGACGGTCAGAACAGCAGCTCAGATCATCCAGGGTTTTTGAGTATCTGGATTGGGTCTTGAAGAGAATGGCACCTGGGAAAAGTACAGTTCTAATGGTGGACTTGAGTACTCTAATGAGCATTAATGGAAAACCACAACTGACAATAAGGTATTAAGTGTACTTGGTATGAGAACAATTTTGCCCAAATATTAATGTTAAACTTTATAGTCATATTGGATTTTCAGCCAAACCTCTTGGACTTTTTTGTGAAGAAAGGAGCAGAGCTCCCACAAGGATAGGGCAAAGTGGAGCTTGCTGTATTTTGGAGCAGGAAGAAGTGAGAATGTGATCAGGCTTCAGTCCAGAAATTTAAGAGGAGTGTTTTGAAACAGGCATTATGACAGAATGTAAGAGAGAACACACTAGGATCATTGACTGGCTTCTCAGTTGAGATGAACAAAGATAGCATATTCAATCATTAATAGTACAGAGAGTCTGCCTCCTAGTGCCTTTCTAGCACTCACCATAGTAGTGAAATAATGTTTCTTGTTGTAGTAAAGGAGACACTTCTATGGCCCTTCCTTGAGTCCTACTTCTAATATTTAACATGTATTTATCAGCTGGACATCTCAGACCCACAACAATGAAACAACAGTAATGTAATGTATTAGTGTTGCCAAATTCTAAAATTGTACTTTACTGTGAATAACTAAATAGTAATAATGAATAATGAACTCGGGTGCACTGCCACATGGGTGGCAGTGAAGGTCAGGGGCCTCGCCGGCCAGACCCGGGCAGCAGAGGCTGGCTCTGGGGACGTGGAACGTCACCTCTCTGTGGGGGAAGGAGACGGAACTTGTGCGGGAGATGGAGCGCTACCAGTTAGATCTGGTGGGGCTGACCTCCACACACAGTCTCGATTCTGGAACCGTACTCCTTGATAGGGGATGGACATTATTCTTCTTTGGAGTTGCTCAAGGTGTGAGGCGCCAGGCGGGTGTGGGGATACTCACAAGTCCCCGGCTGAGCGCCGCTACGTTGGAGTTTACACCGGTGAATGAGAGGGTCGCCTCCCTACGCCTTCGCGTAGTGGGGGGGAAAACTCTGACTGTTGTTTGTGCATATGCACCAAACAGCAGTTTAGAGTACTCGGCCTTCTTGGAGACCCTGAATGGAGTTCTGTATGGGGCTCCAGTAGGAGACTCCATAGTTCTGCTGGGAGACTTCAACGCGCATGTGGGCAATGATGGAGATACCTGGAAAGGCGTGATCGGGAGGAACGGCCCCACTGATCTGAACCCGAGTGGTTGTTTGTTGTTAGACTTCTGTGCTAGTCATGGATTGTCTATAATGAACACCATGTTCGAGCATAAGGACGCTCATAAGTGTACATGGTACCAGAGCACCCTAGGCCGATGATCGATTTTGTAATTGTTTCATCTGATTTGAGGCCGCATGTTTCGGACACTCGGGTGAAGAGAGGGGCGGAGCTGTCAACTGATCACCATCTGGTGGTGAGTTGGGTCAGGGGGTGGGGGAAAACTCTGGACAGACCTGGTAAGCCCAAACAGGTAGTGCGGGTGAACTGGGAACATCTGGAGGAGGCCCCTGTCCGTGAGATCTTCAACTCAAACCTCCGGTGGAGCTTTTCTGGCATCCCTGTGGAGGTTGGGGACAGTGAACATGAGTGGGCAATGTTCAAAGCCTCTATTGCTGAAGCCGCAGCGGAAGGCTGTGGTCTCAAGGTCTTAGGTGCCTCAAGGGGCGGTAACCCTCGAACACCGTGGTCAGGGAAGCTGTCCGACTGAAGAAGGAGGCCTTCCGGGATTTGATGTCATGGAGGACTCCGGAGGCGGGGGCAAGGTACCGACGGGCCCAGCCTCTGCTGTGGCAGAAGCAAAGCAGCGGGTGTGGGAGAAGTTCGGAGAAGACATGGAGAAGGACTTTCGGTAGGCACCAAAGTGTTTCTGGAGAACTGTCCGCCATCTCAGGAGGGGGAAGCGGGGAACCGTCCAAGCTGTGTACAGTAAGAATAGGACCCTGTTGACCTCAACTGGGGAGGTAATTGAGCGGTGGAAAGAACACTTTGAGGAACTCCTAAATCAGACTGACATGCCCTCTCTAGTAGAGGCACAGCTGGAGGCTGATGGGGGTTTCTCGTCAATTTCCCTGGAGGAAGTCACTGAGGTAGTCAAACAACTCCACAGTGGCAAAGCCCCAGGGATTGATGAGACCCGCCCAGAAATGCTAAAAGCTTTGAGTGTGGAGGGCCTGTCTTGGATGACATGTCTCTTTAACATTGAGTGGAAGTCGGGTACAGTGCCCAAGGAGTGGCAGACTGGGGTGGTGGTTCCCTTTTTCAAAAAGGGGGACCAGAGAGTGTGTGCCAATTACAGCGGTATCACACTTCTCAGCCTCCCTGGTAAAGTCTACTCCAAGGTGCTGGAATGGAGGGATCAGATCGAAGAGGAACAATGCGGTTTTCGTCCCGGTCGTGGAACAACTGACCAGCTCTTTACTCTCACAAGGTACCTGGAGTGGGCTTCGGAGTATGCCTATCCAGTCTACATGTGCTTTGTAGATCTGGAGAAGGCATATGACCGTGTCCCCCAGGAGATACTGTGGGAGGTGCTGCGAGAGTATGGGGTGAGGGGGGCCCTTCTCAGGGCTATCCAATCCCTGTACATCCAAAGCGAGAGCTGTGTCCGAGTACTTGGCAGTAAGTCGGACTTTTTCCAGGTGTGGATTGGCCTTCGCCAGGGCTGCGCTTTGTCACCAATCCTGTTTGTGATATTCATGGACAGGATATCGAGGCGTAGTCGTGACGAGGAGGGGCTGCGGTTCGGTGGGCTTGGGATCTCGTCACTGCTTGCGGATGATGTGGTCCTGATGGCATCATCGGTCCGTGACCTTCAGCTCTCACTGGATCAGTTTGCAGAAGAGTGCGAAGCGGTTGTGATGAGGATTAGCACCTCTAAATCTGTGGCCATGGTTCTCAGCAGGAAACCGGTGGAGTGCCAACTCCAGGTAGGGAGTCTTTACCCCAAGTGAAGGAGTTCAAGTACTTCGGGGTCTTGTTCACGAGTGAGGGGAGACTGGAGCAGGAGATTGGCCGGAGAATCGGAGCAGCGGGGGGCGGTATTGCACTCGCTTTACCGCACCGTTGTGACAAAAAGAGAGCTGAGCCGTAAGACCCAGGACTAGGTGGAGAGATTATCTCCACATTGGCCTGGGAACGCCTCGGGGATCCCCCAGTCAGAGCTGGTTAATGTGGCTTGGGAAAGAGAAGTTTGGGGTCCCCTGCTGGAGCTGCTGCCCCTGCGACCTGATAAGCGGATGAAAATAGATGGATGGATGAATAATGAACTTTAGTTAAG